TCCTATTACATTGCTAAACACTGTATACAAAATAGCATCTGGCTCTATTGCAAACAGGTTTAAGAAATATTTAGATAAAATAATCAACCCTGACCAAACTGGTTTTATCTCCAACAGATATATTGGAGAAAACATAAGATTGATATATGATGTAATGCACTTTACAGAAGAAGAAGATATTCCAGGACTTTTATTATTAATCGATTTTGAAAAAGCTTTTGATTCTCTTTCCTGGAACTTCATACAAAAAACTTTGCACTTTTTTAATTTTGGCCCTTCCATTCGAAAATGGGTCACTCTTTTCTACACTGACATTAAAGCTACGGTTAATCAAGGAGGTAACTTTTCTGATGTAATTAAAATTCAAAGGGGATGCAGACAAGGAGACCCTTTGTCTCCATATATTTTTCTGATATGCGCTGAGATTTTAGCTATACAAATTAGGAAAAATAAAAAAAGTAAAAGGTATTACCATTGGAAATGTAGAAAAAAAGATATCTCAACTGGCGGATGATACTTCCCTTATTCTTGACGGAAGTGAGGAGTCTCTTTTAGAAACACTGAATACCTTGAACACCTTTTCGAATATGTCTGGACTATGTATTAATTACTCAAAAACACACACTGTCTGGATTGGATAAAAAAAATACAGTGATGAGGTTTTAATCCCAAATTACCAACTTAATCGGGGAACAACTAGATTTACTTTGTTAGGAATAAATTTTGATGTTGACTTGGAAAAAGTGCCTGAAATAAATTACCAACCAAAGCTAGTACAAATAAAATCCATTCTTAGTCAATGGGGAAAAAGGTTTTTTAACTCCAATAGGAAAAATTACTGTTATAAAGACTTTGGCTTTACCAATATTAAATCATTTACTTATGTCAATCCCAAATCCATCTAATGTTTATTGTAAAGAATTGGAAAAACTTTTTTTCTCATTCTTATGGAATAACTCAACACATAGAGTTAAGAAAAATGTCATTGTTAAAAGCTACGAAGATGGAGGACTGAAAATGATAAATTTATATTCTTTCATTGCTTCATTGAAATTATTTTGGATTAGACATCTGGTTTATGCTAATAAAGGGTGGGAAAATTTCATAAAGAATATGAACATGTATAAATTTACATCCTGTGGAATTGAATACATCACTCAACTTATAAAAAACTTAAAAAATAAATTCTGGATTGATGTGTTCAAGTCCTGGATTGATTTGAATAAAATTTGTAGTAATTCTGAGGTAAATGTGAACTGTCCATTGTTTTATAACCCTAATATCCATATTGGAGGGAAAACCTTTTATAGTAAAAAACTTTTTGACAATAATATAAGATATATCAATGATATCATTGGAGTAGATGGTACCTTTTATACCTATGAATGCTTTTGCAATATTTATCCAGATGTAAAGATTAATTTTTTAGAATATTCTAGTTTAATCCATGCAGTTAAAGCTTGGATAAAGAGGAGTAATTTTGAGAAAAATTTACAAAAATCAGAAAATCCTCTTATTACATCTAATTGTTATCTGGTATCAAAATGTAAAAAATCAAAAAATTTCTATGAAATATTAAATCAAAACTCTTCTGTGTCAGCTGGTTTTAAGAAATGGATTGAATTATTTGAATTAGATAACAAGGAATCCAAAATAATCCATAAATTACCATTTAAAATTACAAAAAACTGTAAACTCCAGTGGTTTCAGTACAGAATTCTAAATAAAATATTGGCACATGCTATTTTTTAAAAAAATTGTAAAATCTAGTTGGCCTTCCCCATTATAAACAGATCGACGGAACTAGATTTTCTGACGTAAGAATGAATTCATATGCTAATCGAGGCACAGGCGATACTTTCTAACTGACCAATCAGCTAAATGAAATTCGTTACGAGTGAGTACCACATAAATACTATGGAAACATGCTTGGAATTTTACTGCTTTCCGATATTTTTTATGCATTTGAGTCACAGATTAGACACGGATCTACATATGTACCATTTCCGACACCACAGTAAAATTCATATACAGTTACAAACAATTGATAGAATATACATGGTATACATTAGTTAAAAGTTTTGTAGCGTGTTTGGTGAGCAATTCGCTAGGTCTACACGTATTCCCGAGTATCGGTGAATACAAGTTTTACGTACATTTCTTGTCCTAAAAACCGTAAATGCTGAAAATCCATGCATATTATTAAGTAAAAAAGCGTTGGCTGACCATTATGAAAGTTTGAAATGTAGAAAAGGACAACAGGGAAATTGACCAAATCCACGTGTCTGCTATAAAATGTAAACATAGTAAACCAGCATGTTTTGTTGTTCTGTCATCGGATTGGACAATGACTAAGTGCGAAATAATAACAATAGCCATATAAGGTCTTCTCTGGCACGCATATCCCTCTATTGTACTAAGACCCGCCCATTCCCTTGCCACAAACGAAAATGCTCGCACAAACCTAGCCGAATTTAGCTGTGATAGGGTCTAAAAAATCCAAGATAATGCAGTATTCCTTATAATTAAAATGTGTCTGAACTATTGAAACTATTCAAAAGGCGTCGTATTTATTCACTCATGTTTGAAAACTACCAACATCGTTGTAGATTAAATATAATTTGTTGTGGAAAAAGGGGCCCCAGATAGCAGTTATGTCACATCATCCTTTGGTGAAACAAAAAGATGTAATCTTACATAAATCATGGAAATTCATTAAACACTTTTGGAATTCCTGAGTAAATCCATGAAAAGAGAATAATTATGCATTGCATGTTTAATTGAAATTTCATGGCTACTTTGTGTCTAAAGAGAAAGCCAGTTACATAAATCACAACAATAAATTACATCTGAATTGTTGTCTCCATTTTCTTATCATCAAAGCCAGTTTATCGGAGTGTTGGAGCTGTCAAGAACCTCCCTAGATGCTGATATCATTTAGACTGTCCTGAGTTACAACACAGCATTTAGATAAACTTCTGCACAGCAGCTTGAAGACAAATACCTAGGCTTTATTTGGAACATAAATTGACCAGATACAGTTTTCATTATCAACCCAGTATTTAACAATTTCAGTATTTTTGTTCATTCTTTGAAGGGGAAAATGCAACTTTGTTATATAATAATTACATAATGGTCTTAGACTTATAACCTCTTTTTTGTTTGTTGTGAAGAACAAAGCATATACTTTCCACAGATAAAAAAATTGTTTGCCAAGCTTATTCTTTTAATGATGAAATTCTGCTTCAAAAGATGCACTAAAAACTGCTTCCAGAGTGCTCTGTGTGTTATTCTATACTGTTCTGGAGTAAGGGAGATAAATGCTTCGATCATATCTTCAGAAATAAGGGGATTTAGATCACCAGACTTAAGGATGTTGGGGACAATTATTTAATGAATCTCAGGTGCAAAAATGAAAAAAATCAAACACCTTCAAAGGTCCTTGGAATGGAGGCTATACAAAGTAATTACACAACACTTCTCAAAGTCACTCCATATTTCTTGCTTCATATTTCTCAGTAAGAACAAGACTTGGTATCAGTTTAATAACTGGTTTATTAATTGATCATTAAACATGAAATAATAGTAGGTAAACAAACATCTATATCGGATACTCGTATATAGATAATTAATATTCGTTTTGGTCTATAGTGTCAACCGTACTTTCAAAGATAAAAATGGTTAGAAAGTTGATTTAGGCTTAAAAAGCTCTAAAAATCTAACATCAGGTGTCCAGTGTGTTGGGAGATAATTTACAGTTGGATTGTAAAGGGTACTCCTGCAATGTTGCTAATGCAACTTATCTGGCAGAGACTGTCGAGGCACTTATATTTGTTACCTTCGGAAGTAGTCATGTGACATGAATTAACGAATGAAAAAGCTGTACGGTGACACTCGACCAATCAAAGCGCTGTACGGCGCCGTACAAACAGAGATCTGTCAAACAGTGTCAAACAACGTCAAACAAGGCTGCCGTACAACGAGGATTATAACTACAAAATTGAATTAAAATACACAATAACAATAATAGTACATAAATATGGTATGGATATGAGAGATGTTTTCGTCAGCTGTAAGTAAGCAATTCATGTGAATTAAACGCGTATTTCAAGATAGAAAACTGCAATCGTATAGCAGACGATATTCAAATAGCTCTTTCAAAGTAAAAATGTGTAACTACAATTAAATCCCGTTTAAAATAAAAACCCTGATAAATCTTTGTAAAACATACTCAAACATTAATTTTGTGGATATTCACAAGCAACATCGAATTGCATAACAAAATACAACATGCTCAAATACGAAACTCTGGCTAATACAAACAAGATGTCGGCGGGACAACCTCATGGCTCTTGCAATCGTGTGCAATTATGGCAATGTCAGGCTCTTATTTGACACATAAATAATCAAGTTCAATACAGTTTCACGGAAAGACTTTGAAGGCATGCACATGGATTCATAGAAAATAAGATTTCCTGTATTAATCCAAACAACAAGTATGTAAAGTGTGCTAAAAATAGACGATACCACGTTGAATAAATAATCAAAGGACTGAAATGTAGTAGTGTAGTTTATGCATAATAAAATCCATCCAGAATATTCCCAATAAATGTTGACCCATTTAAATCATAAAAAATAAACTAATTAGTTTAAGTCTACACCCTGGTCATTACAATATGTTTTGGTGAACGCAAAATTTCGTGGACAATTCAACATAAAAATACTGTCCTTACAATTTGTATGATCGATGACGTATAATACTGATAAAGTAAAAAGGGCCAGTTTTTTCGGATTTGTGGAACTGAATCACAATTTTAAAATTAAAGCCTCAAACTTCTTCAACATTTTGAATGTTTGAAAAAAAATTTTCAGTCTGAAGTTATATTCTTAAAACACGATACAAAATAATAATTCACCATCTGATTTCACTATTTCACATTCAGCAAATTATGATATACCTAAACCATATAAACCATGATTAAAATCATTGATATCACAGACAAATAGAGTTGAATGCTAAGTGAAGATCTTAATGCCTAGTATATCTAATTTTAAGTATGCTTTTTTTGGTAATGCCTCTGAACAATGTTATCGATTTCTTTTGATTTTGCTGCCTCAAACGGGTTCATGGACTTCTCAATGTCTGGCAGGTCTGGATATTTAGCTAACAAATACTTTACAAGTTTAGGTGACCTGTTTACACAAGCATTATACAGAATAGTTTTTCCCGATCTTGAAACATGATAAACATCCAGATTATGCTCAGAAACGAGATATTTCAAAATACTAATTCGATCATTTTCAGCTCCGGCTCGTTCGGTAATGAATAAGGCAGATTGCCATCCCTTTTCAGTCATTTCATGTACCAAAGAAGGACATTTTACAGATATCAATTTGCACATTTCTAATCTTGCATATTTGCATGCTACATGTAGGATATTTATATTATCAGCAGTTGCTTTCATTAAATCATCGATATCTAGTTTTTTTAAAAGTAACATTAAAATTTCCACGTTTCCACTTTTTGCTGCAAAGTGTCCCATATGTTGTCCATTTTTATCTCTATCATGAATTAAGTCTGGACTGTTTTCCAATATATACTTACAAATGTCAACATGACCTTTTTCACATGCTGTATGCAAACAGTTTTTTCCTGTTTGTTTTGACTTGTTAGTAATATCTACTCCTTTCTCGACAAGGAATCTGAATACACCAAGATCTCCAGCTTTTGCTGCGTACTGAATTGAGTTCCAACCTTCCCTGTTTGTTGCCTTTAACACCCATGCAATTTTCTCCTTGGAATGAACAAATTGACAAACGGATAAACTTTTGCCCATGCAAGCGAATAGAACAATATTTTCTTCATATTTTTCTGTTTTCTCAGATAAATCACAATCATGTTCCATCATAAGCTCCAGAATAGACTTCTGTCCTGCCAAAGCCGCCCAGTGTGCAGGATTCATATTATACCTGTCCTTACATTCAAATAACTTTTGATAATTTTTCAAAATATATTCACACACCGGATAGTTTCCATGGTGTGCAGCTATATGCAGACAATTGCGTCCATCGTTCACCACCTTTGAATCAATTCTTACCTCGCATCCAATGATTTTATCAAAAATCTTAACCTTACTTCCTTTCGCAGCAAGATGTAAACTGTTAAACCCTCGGGCATCCGTTTCCTCAAGAAGACTCGTCTTATCTTCAAGTTGGTTGATAAACGATTCAAATCCATTTTCGTCACTTTCCGTAATAATTTTGTGTATTTTTCTGAGATCTTCGGGCACTTCCTTAATTTCTATAAGTAGTGGTTCGTTTTCATTTATACTCTCCTCATTTTCTTCTTTCAAATGTATTTCATTAATGTCTATAAGAAATCGTTCGTTTTTAATCGCACTCTCTTCATTCTCTTCTTTCAAATGTGTTTTACCTGTCAATTCTAATTCATTGTTCTCCGACTTTCCAGTTTTGAATTCTGAAATGAAGAAATTTCCTTAATATAATTTCAAGATTGTGAATATTAATAAAAAAATGAAATAAGATTAAGATTGGGTTAGAATTTCCTAGATTACGTGGAATATAATCTAGAAATCATGGAAACACATGCAAACAATGACCCTGACTATGTATCAATGGTGAAAATCACTGTCTAGTTCGTATAGCACATGTATGTTAGGGACATCAACGAAACATGGGATAATGTATGCATAACAGGCTTTGTGTAATTAATTTTATTATATGATTGAATAATTTCCATCTCTCTGATTGGCTGAGATCCAGCTATGCTAGAAAAATATTACGTTGTATTGACCATCACGTTCCAGGTCAATACAAGGATTTATTTCTTCTACATTGATCTAAAAATAAATTGGGGAATTCCAAATTGATACAAATTATTTTAGAAAGCTATTTAAACGACTATGATTTTTATCATCATGTGAACAAAACATAAGAGAATATATGTTTTAGGTGAGGTTGGTAAGAGGGGATGCAGGGAGCCCCCACCCCCCTTCAACACTTTTACTGAACAACAATTTTTTTTTCGATTTGGCAGTCAGTTTTCCCTGATAATAATCCTTCCTTTCAAAATCTACCCTATAAAAAGACTAACATTATATATTTCTTTCATGGCTACTGAAATTGATTTTAAAAAATTCAAATTGATATGAAGGGTAAGGTTTATTAACATTTTAATTCTGCTACTCTCTTGTATTTGGCTAGGACTTAATAAAAGTGCAAACAAGTAATGAGCTGTATCATTTTATCAGTGAATAATATAATAAAACAATTATTGCTGTTTTTTTTCGGTCAAAACAATGATTTAGCCATCTTCAAAGTACAATATTCACCTCGCCCTTCGGGCTCGGTGAATATTGTACTCCTCAGATGGCTAAATCATTGTATTGACCTAAAAAACCAGCGATAATTGTAGAATATTGTCATTTCATTGTGAAATGAAATTGTAGATTTAGACTTCAGAAAATGTAGACACAGATTTAAACTACACGAGGACTCTCATATCAATTTCAATACCAGTAGTGGACTTTTACGAGGAGCGCTGACTTTTACAGTTGACGCTTACTCTTACACTAGGGCTATGTACGGTAGCTCTTTTATGATATTAATATTTAGCTCAACATTTAATCAAACGAAAATAACGGGTTATTTCAATGCACATATGTGACGCGCCAAGCAAAAACCTCCCTTATATCTATTATGACGTAACGTCAAAAGACGCGTCTAAAGTCAACAACGTAAAAGCGACGTAAAAATGCCTCCTCGAGAAAAACTCTCCTCAGCAGAACAAGGGGATGTTGTTTTATTTATATGCTAAGAAAGATTCTTGGGTGTGGTTTGATGTAGTTTATTCATGAAGAAGTTATTTTCTGTCAAGTGTGACCCATCCTTTTCACAATTATTAAGTGTATATTTTTTAAAGATGTCCAGTGGTGGTTAAAAAATTCCCGTAAGACCGTTTTTAAAATGAAGTTTGTTTGCCCTCTCTTTATTCAGTTAAAAAAATTGCGTCGGGAGGTAGGTCGAATTTTTTTGTCGGAAATGTTGAATAAGATGACTGAAGGCATTAAAATAGTTACTGAATGGATAAGAAAATTCCGGAATGACTTATTCGGAGGTTTTGAAAAGTTCATCTTAAAAGGTCAAACAAACAACTTTTTAAAGATAGTTTTTTTTTTAATTTAAGCTGCTAATTTCCAGCTGTTTCATCGTGATGCACATGCAAGAAAAATTAAACAGGAGCGTAAAACTAGGAAAGGTATCTATTTTTAAAATAGCGATGCAGTGAAAATTGAATTGAATTTCCTCTCTTATCTTAACCCAATTTATACGGTATAAACTGTGTTGGGCAGTTTACGCTGCGGTTTATATATAAAAAAATTTGTACACTGTTCCAACCCAGTTTACACCCTACATATAAATTGGATAGCTTTTTTTTTCCCAGTCGTTATAATTAATTGTTATAATTCATTTCATGTGTGAACAAAGTAGATTTTCATTAAAAATCACTTCAACAGTTCCAATTGTACAATATTGAAATGTTACCTCAGGCAGATCGACATGTTTTCTATCCAAGTGATTGTGATATATAGGTAACCCGATTTATGCAATAAAAGTAAGTTCTTTATCCAATAAAATGCCGCGTTATAACCATAAGTATACACTGTATAACTAAATCTTTTCACTTCCGTAGATGATGTAAGTTAGAAAAATATATTACTCTTTGTTGCACTTTTCTGTGCAAGTAGTAAGAACTGTACATAATCATATGTTTATCGACATTTCCCGGGGGAAAAATGAAACATTCTGTTATTTTTGCTGCACTGTTATGTATTCATAATGCGTTTGATGAGGTTGCAGTGTATACACAATACATCGAATGTGAAACTGGCAAACATGATACATCGCTAAAATGTTATAAGTAATACAAATTGTTACAAATTAATACATATTGTTTGAACACTTTTAAAACATTCCAACCTATTATTATTTTGTGCATGATTTTTCTACAAAAGAAGAGAAAATAAGGTGAAGAGGTGACTTTAAAGTTTTGGATTCCTGAAAACAACAATGTCGGCCATTTATAAAATCGCTGAATTGGGCTGCTGCATGTTGAAACGCAGTCTCCGGTGCTTATTCAGCCCTTTGAACTGAGAACAGAATGAAAGTTTACATGAAACCATTTAGAGTTATAAATTTTCATTTTAATGATTTTATTTTAACCTTTAATATTAAGGATTTATTTAACCTGTAATAATTATTTCCCCGACAAAGATTTTTACTACCAACATTTTATGATTTCACATCTACCTTGGAAAATAATCTTGTTTCCTTCTGCTGAATTGCAGTATAAAATGAATATGTTCATGCATTTCAAATTATTAAAGTTTGCTACCAATTACACGTAATTTAATATATACATGTAACAAACTAATTTTCTAACAATTTCAATAATTTTTTCCTGCAAAGTCGCTTTGTACATGCCTTCATGTACATACATTTACATCTATTGGGAGTTTTGTGCAAAATTAGCAAAACTACCGTATATACTCGCCTATAAGTTGGTAATTTGGGAGTTAAATTTTAGTCCAAAAGTCTATGTCCGACTTATAGGCGAGTCATAAAAAGTTTGGTGTTTTTCTGCATGGCGAATGGTAATATTCTATAAACAGCTATCAATGAGCAAAGTATGGATATTATATCATTTATGTATTATGAGCTTATACATATATTACATGTATTTAGTAATTCTTTTGAATCCAAAGAGAGCATTGTTTATTTTTTTATTATTTAAAGTTAAATATCGACTTCATTTCTAAAAAGATTAGTTGAAATCACGGTAAAGCATCAGAGCATGTATAAGAAATTGTCATCTGAATCTGGCAAAAAATTGTACCGACTTATAAGCGGGTCAATGACAAATCCCTGCCAAATAACCTCAAAAAATACAATCGACTTATAGGCGGACCGACTTATAGGCGAGTATATACGGTAGTACGCTACAAATCTGCACAAAATATGAAAAAAAGTATTTATCAAAACGCTCTATGTTTTAGAATAAATGATTTATCGAACATAAAAAAATACATGTTGGTCGACTTGAATATTGCGTGCTTGTTCAACTAACCCATTTATAGAGCTTTCTTGCTTTAATTATAAAAAAAAACGTATGATTGTATAGATTACATCAACCAATTATTTTTTTTTAAAAATGACAAAAGTTACAACTTACGATTGTACATGTGTGCCTTGTTCTTGTTTAATTAGTTCAGGTAATTAATTAAGCGTGAATGTCCATAGCTGAGACCCCCCCCCCCCGTTTACGATAATGGTAGAATATTAAGAATGTTTTACCCGTTCTCTTACTTTCTGTTGAAACTAATATTTCATATGATTAAAATAAATCATAATGTGTGAATGTACTTTCTCAGGAAGGTAACGGTAAAGTTTAGGTTAGACCTTACAGTCTATGTCTAGAAATGAATGTAAATGAAGTTGTTGAGTGTGTTACTTGTGGGATTCATGTATATTGTGGTTTGTTATTCGGTTAGTATACGATGATCGGTCAAAATTAATTCATGATCAGCTTCATACTTGCATATAAATTGCAGATTTTTTTTCAAACCATATTTTGAAATATATAAACGTATATTATTGGATGGGGGTGGGTGTTACATTCTGATTCACTGAAAAGTATGCTAGTAAACGCATTTAGTTACGAAATAATTCTAAACATATTTCTTTTCAATAATTTAAACATAAATATAAAATAGGAAATGGACGGCCAGGAAAAATTAATCAAATGTTTAAAGATTAACAAGAAACTAGTGCTAATTGTAACGGGAACCGTTACAGATGTTCCCCAAACGCTCCCCAACTCCCTTTTAGTGCCATATTCCTGTAAGTTTCATTAACATAGGCAGAATCTATGCATTTAAGACTTAAACAACATTGCATGAGCGTAATGACTATGTCATCTTGTCTACACTATTTTACTCATTGCACGTGCACGCACGTGCATGATGACCATACCTTCTTGTAGGAGTCCATTATGCCTGTCTATGTTCTTAATCCCATCTTGTTTGGTTGAAAAACAAGGGATTTATAGCCATTTTAAAGTTTAAGCCAATCAGATTGCAGCGCACGTACATGCGCGTGTTTTCATGACAATTATTATATATCATATTGTAGGACATCTTAAAGTATGCCTATGTTTTAAATTTCAAAGCATTTTGTCAGAAAACAGAAAAGATATTGAGATTTTTGTTTCAGCCAATCAGAGCAAAGTGCACGTGCACGCACGTGCATGCATGTAAATGCTGACCATACCATATTGTAGGAGTCCTTTATGTCTATCTATGTTCTAAATCCCATCATGTTTGGTTGGAAACCAAGGGAGTTATAGTCATTTAAAGTTTCAGCCAATCAGATTGCAGCGCACGTGCATGCACGTGATTT